ACACCATACACACACCACAACACCACACACACCACAACACCGTGAGAAAGAGAAAGAGGGAACATCACATGATTTACGATAAGTCAGGTGATGGAGATAACGATTTTGTATTAGTAGACTAGCAAGTGGCCGCGGCTACGCCGCGGACGCTGCGCCGGTTTCTCGATTCCCAGGTTTGGCGTGTAAGGGCTAGAGGTGTTGCCGACCTGGGGTCTTTTCTCATTCATTTTGGATGTGTCTTGACTTCAAAGGGGGGAAAATAATATTAGGAATAAAAAAATGAGCCAGCAAAAAGGATGAGAGGACTGATCTAAAGAACGGGCGAGCATTGTTCACTCTTTTAACATTTTGATCGATTCTATGGTGTAGGGTATGATTACGGAACTCTCTTATAGACATCACTTCTAGTGTATGTGCCCTCAAGCTCGGGGATGCTGCCATGGATCATAAGAACTTTGACATTTTTGATGTCTGCGCATCAAGAAAGAGAAATATAAAGCTTACTGTGTGTGAACACAGGAGTAGGGAGATAGAGTCCGACATTTTCAAGGGTCTGACCCTGCGCCTTGTTGATCGTCATGGCAAAGGCAGGCCTGACCGGGAACTGTCGTCTCTTGAATGTGATCGGGGAGGACTTGTCGTCTGTTGTTAAAATCGGCACTCGTGGGATGAAGACCAAGTCGGTGGCAAAAGGTCCCGTTAGGATTGTCGCCATGATGCAGCGTGGCCTGAGCCGGCGGACAATCAAGCGAGTTCCGTTGCAGAGTCCTTTTTTTTGGTCCACATTTCGGAGGAGAATGATGGGCATGCCAACTTTCAGCACCAGATAGTAGGGAGGTAATCCAGTGGGGTCCAAAGAGTTGAGATACTCTGTAGGATAGTTGGCGACGCCGTTGGTATCTGAATCCGGAACGGAGTCTTGGCCAAGGTACTCTGTTGCCTTGTCAGGAAGTAGTGTGGTCGGGAGGTTGTTCATGTAATTGACATCCTTGTTCAGTGTTGTCAAAATAGCGGTGCGCTTGATGTCGTGAGGTGCAAAGTTGCCGATGGAGATATTGGGGTAGATGGTGCGGATAAGTTGGATCTCGTGCTCGTTGTTGAGATTGGGTCCATGTGGCGTAAAAAGGATGTCGTCTGGAATCCTGATATAATCATCAGAGTCGCCAAGGAAAATGTCTGCTCCTTGCCTTCACCCACATGTAGCAAAAAATCGACGGAAGAAAAAGAGCTGCTCTTGTCCTCCATGACTCGCATATTGCGAGTTTGCTTGAGTGCCTTGACCTTGGGCCAAATGGTGCCAGACATCTTTAGACATGCGCCTTCGATTTGAGACTGAGATCCATGAACAACCACCGGCAACACCTGTTGAAAGTCACCACCGAACACGACAATCTTTCCGCCGAAAGGAACCAAGGGTCGATCCATAATCCGGTCCACAGACTCAAAGACATTTCGATGCATCATGGGTACCTCGTCCCAGATGATGAGGTCGGCCGCATGAATAATGGATCCGACTTGTTGCTCGCGGGTGATATTTCAGGTCGAGTCTTTGAAAACTGGATTGGGGAACTTGAAGACAGAGTGTGCAATGCGTCCACCATGAAGGATCAGAGCTGCTATACCGGATGACGCGAGGACAACAACATTCTTTTTCAGAACACCACTGATTTATTCAATCAGTGTGTTGTAGAGAAAGAATTTGCCGGTGCCACCTGGTCCGTCAATAAAATAGAGGTCGGTCCTTTGGGGGCGGACGGGTGTGGAGACAGAGGCGATGACTTCGTCAAATATTACCCGATGCTCGACATTCATGGTTTGAATGTGAGGGCCCGCCAGCTTGGCGAGCTCTTCATGCGATTTTTCGCTGTGGTCAGAGGCGGACTTTGGGATGTAGCGGAGAATGCTGTCGCTGATGTCTTGTGGCATAGTGGGAAAGGCGGCCAGAGAAGGGAGACAGAACCTCTCGCCGTCCTTAGGCTGGACAAAGTAGATCCGGGCAATCTTGAGGGTGTCCTTTTGATGCCCCTTGTCCCACTTGCGATTGTTTTGGTCGTAGGTGTAATGCTCGCGAATCTCGGCGTATGTATATTTATGTGCGTCCTTGTCCTCTTGGTTCAGCTTAAAGTAGGCCATCAGTTGACTGTCGTTGTTACGGCGGGCGACACAAAGTAGATCCGCGTGTGTGACGTTGTGCTGGCCTATGAGATGGACCTGTAGACGTTGCACAGCAGGTGAACGACCGTACAAAGGATATCCAAGGACGCGCCACATGCTTTCATGGGAAGAGAGGTATCTCATATCGCGAAATTCGCGAATCTCGATGCGTGAAGGATGCTATTATACAAACGATAGCAAACAAAAAGAGAGTGAGAAAAAATAGTAAGCAAGGAGTTGCAATGGTCAGACATCCAGGGAAAAAAATGCGCAAAAAAAGTACCTCCTTGCTTGCTGCATTTTTTTTGGTGTGCAGCGATTGAGCCTTCAGTGGCGGTGGTGTTATACCCTGTAGCGGTAGCTGTAGCAGTGGCGGCGCTGCTGCTGGTGCTGGTGCTAGTGCTAGTGCTAGTGTTGGTGCTGGTGGATGCAAAGACGACGATGGGATTGATCAGTGGAGGCAAACAGAAGACCCTTCTTTTTCGAGGGCGATCTTGGCTCTGCTCGGTCCATTGGGAAAATGAAAAATGAAAAATAGAAATTTGTGTATGTCCATTGATGCTTTGACTTCTGTGCTGCGATACTATTGTTTCTTTTGCTTTGATAGAAATAAGGGGGCAATGAACAAAAGACATGCCTTACGGATGTGCTCGTATAAATATTTCACGGCAGAGACGGAAAACCATATCTCGACATTGAGGTGGGTGTTGAACTTGGTTGCCAGCCAAAGGTTGTGAGGCACGACCCAGCTATTGTCGATCTCTGTCGGGAGATTATCGGCCAGTTCTATTTGGTTACACCTTCCGGCACAGGCATCCAAGGTCGCCCTCTTAGTCCCAAAAGACCTGGCAAGATGTTCAAGGTGGCCGACAGGATTCCGGCCATCACACCCACACTTGGTGCACATGCGTCTGGAGGTGGGAACTGGCGTGCGCGTGTTCGTGATGCTGTTGGAGTCGCAGACGTTGGCGTTGGAATTAGTACCGCTAGTGCTGGTGGTACTGGTGGTGCTGGTGGTGCTGGTGGTAATGGTGGTGCTGGTGGTAATGGTGGTGGATGATGGTGCCGCTTCCGATTCCTCATCAGTCTCCTCTTCAACAATCATTCGCCGTCGCTTGTCCAACTTAACCGAGGTTGTCCCAACAATGGGCGGGCGATCGCTATTGATGGTGCCGTTTTGGTAGGCATCGTAAATGTCTATTGAAAAGACATTGTCAAATTGCCATTCGTCAGCAAATCACTCAGGACGTCAATGAAATCATTGTCGTCATTGAATCCATAGTCTTTGTCCGTGTCCTGACCAGTGACAGGGACGGCGATAGTAGGTGTATTGTTGCTAGAGACGTTTTTTGCAACCTGCTTCTGCTCCTGCTTCTGCCTCTGCTCCTGCTCCTGCTTCTGGTCTTGAGTTGAGTTGGTCCTGAAAAAGACCCTTAATCGACGTCCACTTACCTTTGAAGTTGGCGTTGGGGTGGGGAACAACAGTGGCAACCTTGGGCTTGAAACCCCGGAGGTGTGTATACGCATCCTCAAAATACGTAATGTTGTCGGGGACAGGGTCGTGAACAGGAGCCGTTGAGATCAAGACGCTTCTGCTGTCGATATCAGAGGTCATGTTGTTGACGGGGACATCAGGGGTTGGATCAGAGACATTCACGATAGTTGTATTGTCGTTCTACGTATCGTCTGTATTGCAGCGCCTGCGATTATTGAGAGTGGTGCGCCCTTTACAATGCGCTGCAGCAGCCGAACCAAGACCTTAGAGCTCAAAGAGGACTGTTACCTGCGATAAGTAGGAAACAGTACTAAAGGTCAGGGATGAACAGAAATGAACATAAATAACATAGTTGCATATAGACACTGACATAGACTTACTTTGGAGCAGCAGCAGAAGAACGGGTTCCGGTACGGGTATAAAGAGGCGTGGATGGTTTGCGCATGTTGAAGAGGATAAAACTTGAGACTGTAGAAGATATGTCAAAATATGGTCAAGGATTAATGAGAATCGATACTGAGAATTATGAGACGCTTACCCTTTTCTAAAAGAGAAATAATACAACCTCTTCACTCTCCTTGTGCCACGACATACCGTTACCCTACTGTTCACTGACCATGCTCAGTAGATTGGCGTCTGTGTTCTCTTCATTCTTGTTCTTCCTTGTGGTATGTGTGCTCGCGTCTTCGTGTTTGTCCATGCCAAGCTGAGTCCTCATGTCTGTCCATGCTGAAAAGGATGGTGTATGGTCGAATATGTCAATGGAAAGAAAGAGAGGAATATTTTATTTCACACCTTAGAGGGGGTAATATGCGTACGCAACCCACTCTGATAGTGACGTTCTCACTTTGGTGTTAACATCATGAGTCTGGTGCATTTTTTCAAAAAAAAAAAGGGCCAAGCTGCATCTTCATGTCTGTCCATGCCAAGCTGCATCCTCATGTCTGTCCAGTCCATGCTGCGTCTGCATTCTCATGTCTCATTTTGTCCATGCCATGCTGGCGGATGTCTTTTTTGTTTCTGGTGTCGTTTGTTGCTTGCTGTTGTTGCTATTGTTGTTTGTTGCTTTCTGTTGCAGTTTTTGTTGTTGTAAAAGAAAAGAAGGGGTGGGTTAAAAAAAAGGGGTGATGTTATCGATAACATGATGTCAAGCATGGAGACGCCACGCGGTTGTGCAATTATGCAATTACAGAAAATTTGTCTATATCATGTGATAAAGAGACATTGATTTTAATATATGAGAAGCCGATGTTTCTCCTTCTCCAGGACAACAACTGACTGCAACCTTGATTCCCGATCACACCTCTCCCGACCGCAACAACAACAATAACGGCTCCTTTTTAGACCAATCATGCAGATCAAGACCCTCCACACAATCATGGCCCTTTTGCTTACCACGTTCGTCTCGGCTCTGCCCATTGGAAACGACAACGGGATCAACACAGTCAATGGCAACGGTGCCCAGCAAATTTATGGAAATCAAAAGACTTCAGAGGATATGAGTCCGCAACTGGGATTGGTTCAGGGGACCTTGAACAAGCTCTGTATTGGTTTACCAGCGAAAATCAACGCGCAGTCTCTTGTGGCGCTGGTGAACGTCGGCGTACAGGATATCAACGTCCTCTCGAATCCACAGAATCAACAGTGTACAGAGAATAGTACGCAAGCCAAGGGCGATGAACCGCTTTCCCATATACTAGACAACATTCCTGTCCTTTCAGGAAATGGTAGTCTCGGGTCCTGAAACAACTAATAGTCACATTCCGCACAGGAAAGCACAAGTTGGCAATAAAGTCCATTCCTCTTCACCAGAAACTATTTAGCCCTAGTATAATAGTATCCATGCTAGCAAATATTAAACATGATCGTGCTCAGCAGGGTAACCTTTTTTCACATATTTGTTCGCGTGCACCTGTTTGCTCTGTCTTCATTCCTGGCCGTTATCCTTCTTTACATCTCCACTCAATTGCATTGACCACGTCGAAATTCAACTCCATGCTTAGGAACATCCAAAATCATAAACCATGATGTATGGTGCCGTTCTTGGGACACTTCCGATGTCTGGTCCTACGAAAAGGCCAATACTTCACAATATTCCAGCTCCATAAGCAGACTCGAACATCCTGGTATTTTTTGACACACTCCTCTCCTTCATCGCTTCACTTTGATGTAATCGAATCTAGACGGGGCGGACGGGGATTGGCCTTCCAGTTCTGGAGGACTAACGCAAAGGCAAAGGCAGGACAAGGGCGTCAGTCTCTTGAGTTAAGGGGTACCAAAAGACGGATAATGATGTTGCAAAAAGATGTGGTGGCTAGGCAGCGGCGGTAACGCCTTAGATTAGCAGTCATATTCTTTAGTAGACATAGTACTAGTAGTGCGCCGGGCCCTCTTGTCTGCTCTTTGTCCTTTTGCACACCACTTCTTGGACAAGAGCAGTACTAACAAGAGTTTCGCTGGCGCGCTGCAGTATATCGTTTGGTGTGATTCTTAGCATGAAGGCTAGCGGAAAGTGGCCGCTGTAGGGACGTTTCGCAATCCGAAGATACATGTAAAGTGCTCAACAAGAGTGTTTCAACTTTTAGTGGATTCTGGTTTTTTTTGAAATGCTTATTCATCTTCTCACCATTCACCTCCAGGATGCCTATTTATAGTTCTTGTGCGTCCTGTGCATGTTCAAGCACAAGTCTGAGCCATTTCGGATATGACGTCACGGTAACGATTTTTCTTGAATTTTGCATGCTAGATGAAACACTTTCGTTAAAAAGCTGCATCACTTACATCCTTACTTTTTCCATCCATCCTCTTACACTTCCCTTCATCATTTATCTTTCATCTACTCTCCCCAGCACCAAACACAATGCCACAAGCAGAAAACAACAATAAAAAAAAACACGCCTATATCCCCTACAAAAAAACACAATGTTATCCAGCAATTGATTTGAGGACATTCAGTTCGAGAGGTCAGGGAATCTCTTAGGATCTCGATCGCAACAGCAAGCAGGATCAGGAAAGAAGTCAAGAAGAACATTCCACCGATGTCTTCTGTATATAACTGCTTTCAATTTATCTGTAAAAAGTGTATTGAGCTTGCGGTATAAAAAAACAGCCCAATGCATGCTAAACCCTTGTAAAGTTATGCATATAAAGTGCTCCAGTCAGTTAATCAACCAAAACGCGATTTCGACGTTTTTTTTTTGAAATGCTCATTCATCAATGTTCTGATTAGACTCCAGATTCCTGTTTTTCATTCTCTTGATTCGTAACCTCATTCATCACCAGTTTCCTTTTTTTGCATGAACCGACATTGTATCATCGTCGGAATTGAAATGCTTGATCTTGATCAATTAATTGGATCGCATGTAGTGTCGAATGATTTCCATGTAAAAATTTACATGTGTTAGCAGTGACTGAGTGGCAGGACTGCCTTAACAACAGCACCACTTTCCTCGATTACATGTTAATACTCACGGACGCACTTGCACACCACACCTATGGCAACATGCGCAATGCCGCCGCCCTCTCCTCATTCCTTCCTTGGGCACCTCCTACCTTCCTACCACCGCTTCGTCGTCCACCTCGCCTCAGGACTTCCATGAGCATTTGCACCACAGTCAATGATATGGAAGTTTCACTGGGTTATAACCATAGCCAACACATTCGTCAAAAGTTGTGGCTGATCCGCCTTAACAGCGCCAACTTCGCCCATCTGGCGTTCGAATATATGAACCTGACAGCATCTCAAGCACTCCGCCACCCTGTAGGGTGGTCTCACAACTGTACCTCCTCAGGGCTCTACGTGCCTCTGCTCAGTGTGGTATGTTATCCCCTTGCTCCCAATCAACACTCGAGACATTTTTCCTGATCTGCCCCCGCTTCCTATCTGTTGAATGGATGCCTCCAGACCTGGCCATCTTGGTTAGAGTTGGACAGCATACGTCTCAGTATAATCTACTGAAGACCAAGCCATTGGTGATACTACATCTCTCGCCTCGGCAAGCAGGAGATTATTAAGCACAGTTGACAGCGAAGTGATACCACTCTGCGTGCATGCAGTTCGACCCGCGTTTCATCCATTCCATATTCATACTGCCCATCACCTCTACTTCAGTATGATACAAATGGTGACAGACCGGCTCTTATCCCCATAGGCAAACACGTACAGAGTGGGTAAACAGACAAATAAAAACCGTTTATCTATAGTATAATTGATTTGACTCTAAAATCTTACCAGCATCCCAATTATGATGCTATATCCTATGTCGCGTTCTAAACTAGGGTTAGGTCAGACCAGTCGACTCTTGGCTCGATCGATCGACTCTTGACTTGCTTGGTCGACCCTTAGCACAATCAATCAGCCCTAGTCAAACACGAAAGTTGCCCAAAGGTGTTGTTAGTTAATTACCTCCGAATTTGACGTAAGATACACACACATATATATACATAGCCCATAAAGTCCTTACCTAGTACTCAAATAACACTCTGTTAACACCCTGAAAAATCACTTTCTGACATCTATCCCCTTATCCTCTGCTTGCACGCCTTCATCCAACTCAGACCTTGGGAAAAGACCAACCCTGCCTCAGCCCTGTCAAGCTTCGCGACACCCTACACGTTGGAACAGAGAATGGGCTTTCTATCCTTGGTTCCATTGCGGTTGTTGCTGTTGTTGTTGTTGACGATAGTGTTAAATTTGCGCGCTGGGCATTTGTACATCCGTCTGATAGCGAGCACATCGCTCTGGGTGAAGTCGTCTCCGGTCCCGATCCTGCTGTAGTCGACATTTGGGATCTTTGAGGTGAAACCGGGTCGATTGTTGATGGACCAGCTCGGATGACGGTAGGAGTAGTGCATGATCGAGTAAATGTCGTAGTCTGTATATTTCCCGATGTCTCTGGAGGATTCTTTTGTAAACTGACTCTGCCAGCTATCCACGATGTTCCCCCAGTGTATAGTGATGTAGTTGTCGCGATCTGGTCGTTTCTGTGTATGAATGAGTCCTGCAGCATGGAGAAATTCGTGGATCACGGTTCCTCGATAAACGCAACCGTTGACTGACAGCGATAAAGCTTGACCGCCACCAACTCTGCCGATCATGCTAAAGCACCCTCCGCCATTAAAAACGTTGATATAGTCGCGATCGCCGGCTCTTCTTGGCTGAAGCGGGAGACAGTCGCCCAAAACTTGGTTCCATCTCTCAATGCCGCGCAGTACAGTCTGTCGTGCTTGCTGAGGATAGTTCGGATCGAAACTGTACGCCATTCGACGTACTCCGTTGACTCTCCAGCGCAAATTTTCGTTGAGTACGCCTTGCGCTGCGGCAAAACCAATCAATACGCAGACCAATAGAAATCTTGCAAGCATCATGGACGGCAGGTACAGCAAACTAAAATACTGTTATATTAGACGATCGAGCGGCGACAGTTGTTGGTAGTGACAGAGTCATGGCATGAAGAAGAGGAGATATTAAGGCGCCCGGTTAGCCTTTTGCAGTAAGATGTTATTGTATCATAGCATCTAACACAAGTACAGCAAAGGTTCCAGCATCCAAGAATTGTGATCACTCACATTGATAGCCTTGCGTGTTCTAGTGAAAAGGACAGAAAAGACGATTGAAGAAGAGCAGATGTAATGAAGAAGAGTAGGTGTAGTGAAGAAGAGTAGTTGTAGTGAAGGAGAGTAGGTGTAGTGAAGAAGGGACTCTAGGCTGAAGTGAATTGATGAGAAAAAAGAAAAAGTTGCAGCCAGCTTTTATAGAGCGACCATCATATATATTGCGGGGGCTTATGCAAAGATATCTTCTATGAGTAGAGGTAAGTGTTGCGCAGGAGATGTATACATGGTCGGAATCCAGCTTTTTGAAGAAGGCTAGCGTGTATCATCGATTCCGTGCTAGGATGGCACACAGATCACGATGACCGTTGGAGAAGCTCAAGTATTCGTATACAATTATAAAATACACGGGGCTGGAGGTACATTAATCAACAAATGGTTATAAACACAGAATAAGCACTGTCCTTTGTCTTTTGAATGGGACACATGGTACCCTTTTTAATATACCCTAAACCATCGCGGTAACTTCGTGTTTCAAGACGCGGCAGTGAGCATAGGCGCCAGCAGAAAGAGGGACACAAGTAAGCACATTTGGGGGATGTGTTAACTAATCTATGCACAATTTTCATATGCAGGGTAATATACGCCCCCTTTTCTCAAATTTGAGAGATGACAACTCCGCCCATACGGATGCTAGGATACCTTAAGGAGGTTACAGAATAATCGGTAACTCCGCAAATCAAAGCCGTTTGAAGTCTGCAAGAAAACCTGGTAAACGATATAATACCCAAACTATCCTTCGCTTTTCACCATCACTACAGAAAACAGCTAAGGACCTATATTCCAAGTTACTTTCGAACAAGAATAGTGGCCACGGCTTCGGTCGGGGTATCTTCGTTTTTTTTCTTTGTTTCGACCAATTTTTTCAATTGCATAACTCAAAGGGACCATCCGTGGCAGTGCCGCGGTCATCCTCTTTAACGCGACCTACTTTATGACCTTCCAACTCTGTTTTTATTGAGGCGTTCTGCTTGCAGATAATCCCTGCTTTGACCACCACTTTTGCCACTTGGGGTAGAGTACCATCATTCAAATCCCTGGATGAAGAAAGTATGGTGATTGAACGCAGCGAGTTCTCCATTCGATCGAGCACTAGAAAGCGCGCATGAGCATCGGCTAACGATTACAGCCTGATATCTTTGCACGCAACTGAGGGAGCGACTTGAACCGTATGATTTTGTATGGAAGGTGCCAAGATCGGCTTGAGCAAAATCACGCCTCATCTAATACATGACAAACTATTATCACCCTTCTCCTCTCCTTCCAGAGCCCACCCTTTTCCTGGTATTCCACTGTGACCCTTTCCCCCCCTCCCTCCCTTTTTTTTGAGATCAATTTACACAAAAATGGTCTATCGAACTGCACCCATGCTCGTTTCCTACCTAAGCCCTGTGAAAAATATATTGGTTCCTGAAAAATGTCCATACATGTTTGCTGTATGTATCACTTTGGCCAAAATGACAATGAATCAAATGGAAACCACATGCCTACGATTATGATACGTTTGGGCTACACTAGGCAGATATCACTACAATGGACATACATGTACCTCATCATGAGTAACAGCCTGTCTGTTCTGCGAAATTGCAATTGAATGAATGAGAGAGCGTCGATAATACGGCGAGAATATGTCGACAACGTAGTTCAGTGAAATACGGCAACAGTACATTGATATTATCCCAATCCAAGGGTGATCGCACGACAGTCGCTCTCATCGAAGACCTCCATTAGATAGTATGTCTTCCTAACACCCAAGGGCAAGAGGCAGTGGTACCAAGAAATCTCTCACAGGGAACTACAGGCATAAAAGAAGCGAGATGCTGAAAATCAAGAGGCTGCTGGAAAATAAGGGCTGGTCAGAAACAAGGGCACCCAGATGAAGATAGTGATGCTAGGAAATAAAGGTACAAGAGTACAAAAACATTAAGGTACAATATCAAGGTACAACACCAAGGTACATCTTAATGTACAATGTTAAGGTAAAATATCAATGGACATAATCAAGATACAACATGAAGGTACAACATAAAGGTATTACATAAAGGTACAACACCAAGAGGTAACAATAGCAATCAATGGTACAAAACAGCATCAAAGGACAACAAACGATGAAGAAGGAGGGATGGTCAGACTTTGGAAAGGATGACGACATATTACGTGACCGTAGAGCTATTGTTCGGTTTCCGAGAAATTTCTTTCGACGCGCATTTATCAACCTTCTTCGGTCGCGGAAACATGCACATTGTATGATCTTGAGAAGGGATAGCTAGTTTATTGTATCCAAGTGTTCATGGCGCGGTAGCTTTTCGATCCTTCAATGTCAGCTCTTTCTCACCTCTTTCATCAGAGTTCCCCCGACGCATTGTGGTACCTTCATTGTTCGCTTCAATAAATTCTTCACTACGTCTTCCTGTGCTTCTTTGGCGTTATTTGGTTTGGTTGGGTATGATACTGTGAATCGGGAGGAGGGGAGACCTCTCGAGCACTTGTCCTCGCTTGGTGATACAGCTCCACAAGCCAAAGATCAAATGGACAATTAGTGTGTAATTTGTTTCAATTCATGCACATACTAGTTTCGGTTGATTTAATCCTCACTCACCTCTATGTAAAAGAAAGCGGAGATTATTCGACCAACCCCTGAGATATTCTCAACAGACTTGGGTAACGTGCCCGCAAACACTTTCATGAGACAGTTAATGAGTGATATCCGTTGATCCATCACATAAAACGCTATATCATATCCAAAGACCTAGCATCCCCAGACAACCGGATCCTGTATACCCTTTTTGATCTGAGAGTCAATCTCACTTTTCATCATACGAAACAACTTCCATTGATCCTTCAGTTCCAACTGTGCCGACTGTGTCTTCTCAGGTGGCTTCACCTCACCAACTAGGCTCACAAAGGACAAGTCCAAGCGAGGAATAGGCAAAACAACGAAAAAATCGCTGCGAACACCGTGTTTGTGATCCCCCTTGTCCTCGCTTGGCAGAGTCGTGCTCAATATCCCCCCTCAACACCTTGTTTCCTCGTGCAGAAAACGTCACCGACAAAAATGGCTGCAACGCTCGATTCACAAAAGTTTGCTCTCCATCCTGCAGGTCCCGTCTAAGCTCGTTCGGTAGTGTGTCTAAACTGAAAAAAGACATAAACAAAAATTAGTCAGGACGTGTATGAATGACTTTGGTGTCCATCATAGCCAGTCATTTCTTCACTTACAGCTGCTTCCAAACTTTAAGCGCCCTTCTGACTGTCCATGGTATGTCTGCAGTACACAGCTCATCAATCGCTTCCGCAATCTCCTGTTCAGTTCCAAACTGGAGAATCTCCTCAACTTGGGGCGGTAATGCTCCAATTTCCGGGTAATCTGGTATACGGTGCTCCTTGCCCATGGCCCTATGGATCTCTTTTGCATCCAAACACTCCAATATCGCCTTGTCAACAAACCAAATACCGTTCAACGCACTGCAAAGCAAGGAGCTAAAGTCAGCACAGTATATCAAAACAGCCTTGAGGGATTTCAAAATGCAAATGCAACAGCACAACTTACATAGCTTCTGCTTTATGCGTGGCAAAATCAAGTGAGCCAGCTCCTGCTAGGGCTTTGCTTTTTTCCCTGAATTGTCGAAGGCAGAATGAATGCTTGATCCTGATGGAGAATTGGGCGGAGGAAAAGCCGGAGGTTTGAGGTCCAATAAATACACGGAAGCTTTCCTCTTCTGCTGTGTGCCTGATCGCTTTGGAAGGGTATTTGAGGCTGTGCGATCATCAGTCGGCACCTGAGAGCCAGTGCTGTGCATATCTCTGGGAGCAGTGGTAAGGTCCTCACTGGCGGATGGTGTGGGCGAGACCGATGTTGATTTTGATACTGTTGGTATAGACGATCGCTGACTCTCTATATTATACAACGTGGACATATCATATTTAGCAAAAAAAAATCCTAACAGTGCTCCCCTTGACCTCTCGAACGGTCAAAACAATCCTTTAAGCGTACGTCGAAGCTCCTGCAAACGTAAATATAGCTCTTGATATCCATCCGCAAGTTGTTTTGACGAGTTCTCAAGAACAGCCATATGGCGCTGTACAGCTATTCGATTCCGGTAGTATTGGTCCAGACCCTCAATGGTTAGCGGACGTGTGGCAGTTGCGACCTCTCGAACAAAGGAGTATGCACTGCTCTTCAGATCTCGTATCCACCGGTCCATTCTTGAATAAGTCTTCAAGCGCGATTTTCCTCCAAGGCGCGAGATGCAATGTATCCGGTAGGTTCAAAACAGAGCCGTCCAGTTTGAGAGAGAAAATACCCTGCTCCTTTTCTGTTCGCATCGAATTCCGACTGCCATTCAGCAGCTCCCACCCGCCGCCGATCTTATTGGGTTTTGGACACTGCACTGGAACTGAGGGGAGCGAATTACTCCGAAGAGAAGGCCGAGCTTGCGACTTTAAGAGAATTCTGTGAATGGACCTAGACAACAACTCTGCAAAGTACAGATGAGGATGTTAGTTAACAGAATTTAATGCCGATTGTAAATAAACCCAAAAAAATGTCACATGTTCTCGTCTTCCCAGTCGCATTTGTCCCGTGTTACAGCAACGCAATTGAGTACTGGAACAGGATCATTGCAGGGCATGAGGCCGGTATCCAGGATACGTTCCAAAGTTCGTGCAATAACCGCGATACTAACCCGTTCCTCTGCGACCCTGAGATCTCTTCATCACTTTGTAAAAAACAATGAAAGCCAGGGGGCGGAGAGAGTAGACGAAAAAGATGCGGAGGCAAGTGTAGCATACATCTACAATTTACCTTGCGTTGAAAAGGTAGCAAGTTGTGGATAAACACAGAACGAAAGGAAACAGAGGAATTGAACAAAGGGCGTGGCGATCAACAAAAACGCAGTGGTAAATAAAAGAGAACGCCGATGGAGAGAATAAAGGACAGTAGGAAAAGAGGGGGAGAATGGTTAGGAAGGGAAAAAAGAAAGGCGACAAAGAGAGGCAGTGACGAAAAGAACGTGGGGTAGAGATGCAAGCTGGTGTGATGAAAAGGGCGTGGGAGTGAGGATGGGGTTGCTGTGGAAGTGATGGAAGAGGGAGTGATGAAAAGAGATTAATGAAAAGAGCTTGGACGTGTAGAGGGAAGCGTGCCAAAAAAACGCTAGTCGTCACGTCATCATTTAATTTATTTTAACTGCACCTCAAACACTCGTTTCCTTGTTGTCTTCTTTTGTTTCTCACTCACCCTCTCTTTACCACCACCCCTCGTCTTTGCCATCGCTCGAATTCTTCCCGTGCTCTCCCTTTTCCTCAGTTCTTGCGTCTCGTTTCTTTGCCACCGCTCCCACGCCCTTTCTTGATTGCCTTTCCTACTTTTTTTTCTCACCATTCACATGCCACCTCGCCCTTTCTTCATCGCCTTCTCCGCTGTCCCATTCTTTTCCTTTACCAGTCTCACGTTCTTCATTGCCTTTGCCACCACTCCCACGCCTCCCATTCTTTCTTTTGTTATCACTCCCACGCCCTTCTCTTCTTTGCATCCGTCACTACTTTCTTTTTCATCCCTCACCTTCTATTTCTTCCTTTTCACTATTCATTACTCGACATCTTTCTTACTTCGTTTTCATTTCATTCCTCACTTTACCTGCATCCTTCGCCTTCTCTCTTTCACTTTCAGTCTATTCAATGCTTCATAACACCATGACCGACAACCGTTTGAATCTGTTCTGTCTTGTTGATGGGGAGGCTACACCATTTTCTATCGAAGTCGACCGAACAAAGACCGTCGATCACCTCAAGGACCTCATCAAGGCAAAAAAGGCCAACGCTTACAGCGATGTCGATGCAGACGTGCTTACGTTATGGCGTGTCTCGATTCCAATTGATCCGCCTAACAAGCGCAAACCAATCGTCCTTACCGAGGTCCAGTCAGCAGCAGAGCTTGACCCAACAGACGATGTTTCCGATGTCTTTGAAGGAACGCCACCCAAGAAAACAATCCACCTCATCGTGCAACGACCCTCACCAGGTAATGCACACGCGTCGCTTTCATTTACACCCTGGATCTGGACTTTTCTACTGTGTTTATGCTAACTGACTACGCTCATCCAATTATACCGACATAGTCCATGCACCCGTTCCTGCTCGAGCCTGTACTCCTCTCTCGGTTGATTCACATCCTGGTACACCGCTGTCGGGTGAGTCATTCGCATCGCCTTTTGCAATCCCACGTGAAATCCAGTCTTTAATGATCTAATGCCGATGCTTTACGAAGTGGAACGACATTGACTGTGTTTTTACTACCATTCAATAGACGAGAAATGGCAAGAACTTATTTCAAAGATTGAGGACGAGTTCTTCGCACCTGCTTCGGCCGACTACACGGGCCTCGTCCAGTTCGTCACAGATGGTGTGAACGCTGAGCGGCCTACCATTTGTTGCTCCTCGCGCAGGTTCGCTCAAGGACCGACCGAGCTTGTTGTTCCTTAACTTGCCAGAATCGTCTGAGACACAGGACCCTCCCAGCATTGCCAACAAGGCGCTCGAGAAGGTTCATGGACGAACGATTCCCTTTTTACCACTCTTTGGCGTTTCTGAGTGTGGGAAAACGAGGGCGGTGATCGAGATGCTCTTCAAGAACTGGGGCTTCTACTTCAATGGAAGCATCGCGGATTGGGGTTCCCAGGATCTTGTCCGCTTTCATGACTTGGTCCAACAAAGGAAGCGGTATCGGAATCGTGACTTCGAGAGCAACACCCATGTTCACATCCTGGCGCTGACTCTTGTTCTTAGTCGTGTTATCATTTTACAGCACTGTCTCAACATCGCGGAACAGGAAGGAACGCCATGTACTTGCAAACACTGGATGCTATTGCAAGTTGGTTTCGACACGTTGGGTTTTAAGGACCTGTTTGCTTTGCTGTTCGCGTCGCTTGCGTATGTGATCCACCGTCACTCTATCGGAATCGCGCTCATGACAGCTTTGTTGGAAGACGATTCTCTAAACTCCACCAACGCCTTCTGAACCTCACCTTCAACACGTCCTCCCAGAGCATTGGCTTAAAGATCCTTCTGGTGATTGACGAGGCGCAAAATCTCGGCAAGATGGACTTTGGAACGTTTATCTCACAACAAATATCCTCGGAATCTGAGGGTCAAGACTACTTACGACCGATCCTCTCCCCCTTGGTTCACGGGTTCTACCAGATCGCTGCCGACCACAGGCCGTTTTGCGTAGTAACTCGTGGGACCGGCCTCAACATTCTCGATATGAATTGGCTCGAAGACTCGGCTGCTGTCCCCAAAGGTTACAACAAGCAGCTTGGTCCATTCACCGATTTCCAAGGCTGGGAATCGCTTGAACAAGTCCAGAACTATCTAGCTCTTGTGCGTAGCTCGTTGCCCGATGAGTCGGCCAGAGGAACTTTCGACATTCGTGTGTCGGGGGAAGCGGTGTCTGAGCTCTTCGCATGCTTGCGTGGTCGTTTTAGGCCCATTGTTACAGCTATTGGTAAGAACGTTCGACGGATTGTTGATACCCCCATCTAGGAGGCGAAGAACGAGAAGAAAGCAATGGCCTAATTCATTGTTCAACTCATACTGATAGAGAGCATGATATGTGCCAGGAACGGTCACAGTGATTGGAAGAAGACGATCCAGGACACGGAAGAGGCGCTGACATCGACCGATCGCCAATCTCACGGCAAAGGCAACATCCCCTACGACATCGATCGAATGCTCCGCCAAGTCGCGCTACATCCATCACGGTACGCAAAGTATCAAAATATCAGGACCGTCCTTCAACTCTTTGTGCTGGAACATTACCTGCATAGGAGCCCCGTGGCTCTTCATGAGCTGGAGGCGCCTTTAGAGGAGGCCTCTGTTGGACGAATCTTGGGTGTTACTGGCCAACCAATAGCCACAGTTCTGGATGAGCCGTTTGCATTGCGTGCTGAGGTGAACTACTTTCGCAAGGATGACCCCGACTTTCATAGCGCGATCTGCAGCTTGTTCAGCCTGTCACCAAAAGCCTCCGTCCTTGGGTCCACATGGGAGATGGCGGTTATGCCTAGCCTGGTTCACGTTTTCCACAACAAAGTCCTGTCTGAGACGTCTCTGGTCCCCTTGGGAGACGGTACGCTGCGACAACGGCCTTTTGAGCAGCAGAGCCACGATTGTCGGTTTGGAGGAGCATATGCTTGGGACCGACCATCGCAGTATGTCGCTGAGCGAGGTTTTGAAGGCCCACGTTGAGAATGGCTCACGCTTACGTAGCGATGAGAGTCAAGTTCCAGCGTTTTACCATCCTGCCGAGACGCTTTCCGCCCGACATTGTGTTTGTTCTGCATTTCGACAACTATGGCTTTTGTCCTGTTTTTTATCCAACTGAAGCTGCGGGGTTCCATGGATTCAGAGGACATCTTGAGTGCGTTCGCAACGGTCAAGGCCGATGGAGTTCAACGCCATCTTGGCGACAGCAAGCTCCGGACGTTTTGTACCGTTTCTCCCAACTGGTACCTTGGCGTTGTCATTGCTAGAGTTTCTCAAAAATTATTCGCATGCGTGCGATGTCAATGCAAAATTATTCGCGGCACATAGGACTTGAGAAACTCCAGTCATTGCTTATCCGACTGAGCTGCCGGGTGTGGAGGGCTCATTTGCCGAGGTGAGAAGAAGCGAGCGAATTCGCGGAGCGCAAGAGGAGGAAAGCCCACAGTGCATTTCGCTCAAGGTCGACAAGAACAATATACACGATCTCTTCCCGGAAGCGCACGTGAAAGTGCGGGATCGTCTCAAGAGCGTCAAGCGAGAGCTAGAACAGAGCCGCGATGACCCGGCGGACGAGCATACAGCGAAACATCGTCGGTTTTAGGCTCCAGCTAAAGTCACCCTTGTACTCCTTGAACCGAATCAAGAGACAAAATAAAGGGTTATCTCTCCACCGTGCCTGGATATTTTATTTGTTTGTTCCCTGTCACGAACAATGGAAGTTCGCAAGAAACATGTGCTTTGGTTGTCTATGTTTACTTCATCTGTAACAGCCACAGAGCCATAGGGAGGAGACGAGTGTGTGAACAAGGAGAAAGGGTGGAACAAGAAGACAAGGTGGGAACAAGAGAAGATCAGGAGAGGTAGGGGGACAATAGGAAGAGGCTAGAACGGATGATGTTTATTATACAAAGAGAAGGATATATTTATACTAGAGTACAGGAGGGGTGATGGTGGAGGCGTGCTTGGCGATGGTGGCGTGGTTGGGGGCGATGTAGAAGATCAGTCTATGGTACTGTCACATCATCCTTCGTTATCTCTGCAACGCTATAAATAAATACTTCATCACGCCATTCAATGAAAACACGAACATAGTTGCAACCAGTAATTCTGTCACAGTGTGTTAGTCTGTGTAGAGTATATTCTTCATTCGCCATCCCAGCTTGCGCTTTGTATTTTGGTATCTTGTCTTACTTTCTCTTGGCAAAAAGTTCATAATCTTTTTGCGAATGCATGATTCGTCCGCTCCCTCTGCCTCTTTTGTTTGCTGTATGAAGGCAGCCCTTGGTCATTTTATTTGCTCTACAACTTGACACTGCGCTAGAGTCCTTCTGATACATACCTGACTGAAGAAAGGGGGTAAAAGTAAGATCGAGAGTGTGGTAGGAAAAGAAAAAAGAGGGCAACTTCTTTTCTCCTTACTCCTTCGCTTCCTCTACCATTGCTGTTCATTCACTCTGTCATTGGAGAGGTGATCGATAGCCATATATTGATTACTGTTAAGGTCAGTACCAATTCTTTATCCGCCTCCATTGATGTTTACGGGCGACATATTAAAACGCCCATGTTACCAAATCACAGCGTTTGCGTTTTGTTTTGAAAAGACGTGATGTTCTCAGATGAGTGGAGCAAAAGTCGTGTTGGGTCGTTTGGAAGGCAGTAATTTTATTCAGACAAGGAACACAAGCGTCTGGAGCCTCATCAGGTCAAGGGAACAAAGCACAATGGCGGTGAAAAAATCATGGTCTGGGGTTGCATGACCTACCACCTCCTTGGCCACCGCTCCTGAATCCCCGGCAAGATCAATTCGCTAGACTACCTCACTGTTCTCAAGGATTATGTCCTCCAATCTCGAGACTGGTTTGGTATGGATCCGGAAACATTCATCTTCAGCAGGACAATGCAAGCATCCATACTGCCCACATTAGCAGAGACTATTTTGCCGAGGAGCAACTCGTAATTCTTGAGTGGCCACCGAATTTCCCAGATCTCAACCAGATCGAAAATCTATGGGCGATCATAAAGCGACGCCTGTATAACTATGAAACGCACCCCAAGAGCTTTAATGAACTGTGGGAATGAGTTCAAGAAGTCTGGACAACAATCCATATCAAAGAGATCCAAAACTTGCACGAGAGTCTTCCTGAACACACAGAGAAAGTGTTGAATAGCAGATGAGGTTACTCTGGCTACTAATAACGAGGTTTATCGGACGAAAATAAAAAAGCGTTTAAAAGGCACAAAATGATGTAAATGGACACGGGCGACATGGCAGAACTCAATTCCACTTTCCATGTAAGGAAACGAGACCAAAATGCACGCTTCTGCGTGATGATGATTACGATAAGTTACACTGGCACGAGCTTTATTTTGTGTTGGCATACTATTTACAATAAACCTTAAGAGTAAGTGCAACTAGAGGTACTGTAAGAGGTAATACTCAGGGCTTGCAACATGAAAATCTATAACGAAGACTCCATATGCCGCCGCACCGTACATATCCGCGAGAGCCATCCTGGCATGCTCCTAATTCATCCCAGCATGCATTTTGGCCACTCAAAAAAGCAGAATAGTAGCAAGACGTCAACTCTCGCTTATCTTCGCTGCACTGTCGTCTATAGCACCCTTTCTCAGAGTAGTGTTTTGCAAAGACCGACTGCACGAGAAACAGGCTGACATTACGACGATCCTCATACTGATGGCTGGCTATGAGCTGTCAGATTCGAAGTATGTCCCCAATAGTGAAATTAGAAGTGAGACCGAGATGAATGACAGATAAGACAAAGACAACCATTTCATGGAACAAACTAGGGATATGCTTACACGTTTTGCTGGCAGAGCACTGAAGAACAAAAAAAGATCGAGAAGTTGGTTAGTTTTGGAAATGGGAGCTCAGATTGGGCGAGAGCAGTCTAGAAGCAATATGGATGTGAGATTGATATAGTAGCGGACGAAAGTTATGCAGGTGCACAAGGCAGCGAACAATTGATAGGAATGAGAGTTACTTACATTAGTTGGGGATGGAGAATGATGTGAATGATGGGAGGGACGAGAAGAGGAGGATTGAGTCCTTTATATAGACGGGCAGGATGGGATGATGGAAATCATTGTGTAGGGAGAAGTTCATCTCGTTTCGCCGTATGTGCTTAAAGTGCTACACAAAGTGATCCATCTTTCTCCGAATTCATCTTTTTTTTGAAATGCTCACCATCCATCATTGCAATCGGCCCCAGGATGCCTCTCGATGATTCCTAGGCCTTGAGATCATGCTTCTGTTGGAGCTATACCCATTTCGGTGATGACGTCATTGTGAAATAAATTCTTAAAAACCGATTGCATGATGGATCACTTTTGTCGTGATTCTGCATCCTCTCGATCCACTTCTTTTTTCTTCGATATTTCTTTAGCTACCACTTCATCATGTTCTACTCTTACATCAACTCTTCTCACTACTAAACATCATGCCACAACCAGAAAACAAAAACGACAAAAAAGGAAAGAGAATCTCGCCTTCAGACAGAGCCACTGCCATTCAGCTGTTCATTCAAGGACAATCGGTTCGAGAGGTTGCGGACTCACTCGGGATCGGCGTCGCAACCGCAATTAGGATCAGGAAAGACAACGAGGAAAACGTGCCGCCTCCAAAAATGGGCAGACCAAATAAGATCTCCTTAAAGACCAGAGGGGTTCTTGGTCGCCAGATTAATTCTGGTCAACTTACATCACTTCGGGATGCCCAGCGATTCATTCAGGAGAGAGATGGCGTGCATGTGGATGTGGAGACAGTCCGGCGGAATCTACGACAGCAAAAGATCCGGGCCTATGTTCAACAGAAGAGGCCTGATCTGAAACGGAATCACATGCAGGAACGGCTTGCATTTGCACGGGAGCACATCAAGTAGACGGTGGACGATTGGAAACGCCTAATGTTCTCCGATGAGAGCGTCATCAGTTGCGTGGGGTCCTTTGGCAGGAACTACTTTTATAGTGATCGCGGGCACAGGCGATTGCTACCTCACCAAGTTCATCCAACGCCGCACGCCGGTGGAGGGAAGATGATAGTGTGGGGATGCATCACCTTTTTTTTTTTTTTTTTTTTTGGCGCAGGAGACCTTTGTCGGATCAACGGCACACTCGATTCGGAGTTCTACCGCGAGGTCCTCAACGATTATGTTCTCGCCTCCTTCGAGTGGTATGGTATGGATCGAGCAACATCCATTTTCAGCAGGACAAATGCTCGGGTGCGCGCAATATACGGGTACTTCTGGCGCTGCATCGATGTTCTCACATCTTTGTCTCCCAGGTTCGTCAAGTGGCCGGATGCAGCAAGACGCTGAGTCATCAAGCAGCACTTTCAAAACATGTGTGGTTGCCCCAAGTGATCGGTGCAGTTGACGGCTGCCTATGTCCTTTCGACTATGCTCCCCATTTCGAACCTCAGGCATTCAATAATTACAAGTGTCGTCGCTGCGCGACATCCGTTGCAGTCTGCGACCATGATCTTTGATTCACCTTTTTTGAGGCTGGCGATTTTGGCTCGAGACATGATGAGACAGGATACAAGATGACTGACCTTTACAATCGCTGCAACATCTACTTCAATGGCGCCGAGTATCTGTTGGCTGATAGCGCCTACTCGAATATTCCAACTTGCATCACCCCTTTCTCAAGGAGGGAGGAGAGGAGAGCCCCTCTCACCGCAGCTCAGAAGAAATTCAATTTCAGGCACAAGAGTGTGCATGCTGTGATCGAACAAGCCTTTGGGCGTCTGAAGCCAAGGCGGAGGTTCCTACAGGCTATTTCCGTCGACGTTGATGATGGAGATAGCGTTGGTGGGGTGGGTAGAGTCATCACCACTTGTGTTGCTCTTCACAATTTTATTATCGATCACCCCGAAGATGTGCTGATCGAGAGACCTGTCAATAAGTTTGAGCTAAAGTGGGCTCGGCGCTCTGGCGTGGAGCCTATTGTTGACCACAATGAGGACCATGACAGGCGAGAAGGGTCAGCTAAGCGCGAGCGCATTGTCAATATTTCCCAGCGATTCAGACCATATTGATTGCCAATTAATGCTAATAAACAAAATATATTGATCTATATCCAGCTTAACATGAGACTCCGGCATGAACAAGGGAGGCCTTTCAACTCCAAAATGTAATATGGCGTTTGTTACATCTCTGCAGATCTTGATGATATCCATAGCGACCATTAGATAAGAATGTATGCGGTCTCTCCATGTGCGAAGGATATAAAAAAGCATATAAAAAATGTCCGAAGCTCAAGGAATGCTGTGTAGACTTCCATAGCTGATCTATCTTTTCATAGTCGGCAACAGAACATGGAATAAAATAGCAGCAGACGGCACACGATTTTTTAAAATGTAATCTCTCCCTTGCATTTCGCCTCAAAGACACAGTTGAGAGTACAGGTGCTTTAGATGATCACATACAAGAACTGCTCTGCTGAATCTTGCAGTGATGGGTACAGTTTAATAGTAGATGGACACATTCAAGATATTGGTGCGCGAAAAAAAGAAGATTTTGTTGTTTGGAGAATGTGGTTGTGTTTAGTAGGATAGTTACATGAGGAATGTTACAGTAGTTGTTTTACATGCTTGATATCATACATACATTCTTATCTGATGGTCGCTGTGGATATTATCAAAATCTGCAGAGATGCAACGAACACCATATTACATTTTGGAGTTGAAAGGCCTCGTATGTGTGATATTAAGCATCTAAAACTACTACTGAAGCAGAATTCAGTCAGCGTTGGATTGTTCACCCACTAATAGGGAACGTGAGATGGGTTTAGACCGTCGTGAGACAGGTTAGTTTTACCCTACTGATGAATAGTAATTGAACTTAATACGAGAGGAACCGTCCATTCGGATATTTGGTATTTGGGCCTGCCCGAGCAGGCAATGGCCCGAAGCTATCATCCATTGGGTTATGGCTGGACACCCCGTCCTAGAACGCGACGATTACCGCCTCGTGCCATTTTTAGTTGAATACGAATAGATCCACGGTCCTGAATCTTACGAACGTGGGATTATCTTGCAGAGCGAAAAGGCTTTGTGAGGTTCCCACTTATATTAATTTCAAATATAGCACTAGATAAATCCATTGCAGACGACTTTAATTGAACGGGTATTGTAAGCAGTAGAATAGTCTTATTATTACGATCTGCTGAGATTAAGCCCATTGTTCTATAGATTTGTTCGAAAGAACAACATCTCCTCTCTCTTTCTTTTTTTTTCTTTCTGGCGCGCCGTTTAAGGGTAGTTCAATCTATGCCCTTGCGCCCGAGTTGGCATGCGGATGACCAGGTTGAGCCCCTATGCACACTTAAGGCGACACCCCTCCCCCAGCCTGAATGAACCCCCCCCCCTCCTAACAAAAAATAAAAAAATGGCGGCCCATTGCCAGCTAATATTGATGCGGGCAAGTGGCTGCTATAGGGTAATCGTGCGAGTAGCCCTGTCGCTACGAGACCATATATTTATTCATTTTTGAACGCATCTCTCTATCTCATTCTCGCTTGTGGTGGCGTTTTAAAGGGCGGGTGATACAACTTGCCCAGTGACAATGACATTCAAGCGACAATAGCTCAAGAGATCCGAGGCTGTTTGGAGGGAGCAAGCTGAGACTCCAAGTTGAAGGTATTTTGGTGTTATGTTTTGGGGGAGTGGAGCGTCCTCTCCTCCCTTTTTACTTTTGTTTTTGCGAACAGCGGTTTGCACCTTCTTCCTCGTCCCAGCAACCCTAAGTAAGTCAAAATATTTCAGCGCATATTTCCTAGGACTCTTAAGCACGCACATGTATGTATTGGTACTACTCTATCCTTAAGACCATGTAATATTATACTGTAGCTTGCTCACTTGTCCAGTGCATTAGTGATGCTGGTCGCAGATCCTGAGCTCCAGTAATAAGGCGGGCAAGCGGCCTTGACATGCTCCCAAGCCCCATCAAATGCATTCACAACTTGCTTCGGCAGAGGACCCTTCTCCAAGTCCCTCAGGTTGTCCTCCAGATGCTTAAGTGAAGACGCTCCGACGACGATACCATCATTGGGACCCAGCCCAGAGTGGTGCTTCAACCAACGCAGAGCGGACTCAATCAACGTCAGGCCATGCTCTTCAGCCGACTTTTCCACGCTCTTAATTGCCTCGAAGAAGAGGTTATTCCAGTACAAGTCGCGGTATCTATGAAAATAAATTGACACGTTATTTTAGTATTGGTGGAGGCGTGTGATCAGCGGTTGTACATTGTGCACTGGACTTACAGCTTCCCGAATTGCGACTGATCGAACATAATGTGTTATGAATAGTTGAAAAACCGTAGTGTTAGATGCTCTGCTTTAAATCTCCACTACTTGTGCAACAACAGCATAAAGAAACAATTATCATTACCTTGAGGTCGAAGCGACCACCTTCACTTTCCACTCCTTCAAAGCTGTGTTTGCCTGAAAGGAGACCTCCAGCCTGGTAGGATCATATGACCATTCGCAGAAATGATATGATGCGTGTCAGAATTGCAGTCCCCTCAGGTCATAAAATATAAAGCAAATTCGCGGTGACCATAGAGAGTGCCTGGCTTACAATTGGATTATATGCATAGAAAGAAATGTTAAGCATCTTCAGACAGGGCAGGAGCTCGGACTGAACGCCTCTGGTAATTGCGTTGTACTAACACGATCGACAAAAGATAATCAATAATATCAGAGTCAGATATCAATACATTCTGATGGTTCCAACCTTCAATTGTGGTGTGATAGAACTTTAAAAAGAATAATGCATACCATTCCTTGATAGACTGTGGGTAGAACATATCCATTCTGCTTGCAAAGCTGGTGGACTAAGACTACTTGCCAGGCTGCAAAGTTGGACAGTCCAAACTGTCATACAAAGTAGAAGAATGTATTTCAGTGAGCAGACCGCTGCTGAGTTGCCCCAGCACATAATCACATTCATGGCGGAAGTTTTCATCCAGAAATCTTACCTTGCTGAAGAGTCCCTCACGATACAGCTCATCCACTGCTTTGACAGTTTCATCAAATGGCGTCGTGTCATCCACCATGTGCAGATAAAAGACATCCACTTTGGTAGCCTTCAGTGCAGCCAGAGACTCCTTAAATGTGTGCTTGAGGTTGTTAGGTGCGAAAGCTCTAGGCATGGTAGGCCAGACTTTGGTCGCAATCTTGAACGACTCCATCCGCAACTGACCCAATACCTAGTAATAAAAGATTTTATCAAGACAAGGTCTTTCATACTCAGGTATTCAGATAATGTCGATGAGGCAGGGATTTGCATGAGAGTCAAATAGCGTCTTACCAACTCTGTGTCGCCATTGCCATAGATCCTGGCAGTGTCCACCTCTTCATGACCGTGTGACTTGAACACGTCCATGAATGGCTTGATGTTTTGGGCACCTCGCACACGGACGACGGAGGTCTCAAAGCTAGTAGTCTCAAGACCAAATGTCATAGTCCTAGATGGAGCAAGATATGTAGCGCATTAGAAAACGATGCCGGTTACTGAGCATTATGGCTCATACCTCGCAATACAGTAGTGAAACATACCCAAGAATAATTTTCGGAGTACTGTTTGATTTAACCATAATGAATGAGATTATTTAATAAAGCAGTTAAAGAGAAGATTGAGGCTATATTAGTTACCCTAGGCTATATTTATATTATTTTCAGGTTCATACTCCTTATGCGCCCTGATCCGGGTGGCATTTTGTCAGTGAATACAGTACGAGAGTGAACGACCAAAGGCAGAGGACCATGCAACAGTAAAGCGATTACCAGGCTAAAGGACGTCTGCGCAGTAAGGTTAGAGGACTTCTGCGCAGTAAGGTTAATTTAAATTGCCTCTGCGCAGTAAGGTTAGAGGACTTCTGCGCAGTAAAGTTAACTTAAAGTGCCTCTGCGCAGTAATGTAATAGGAGCAGAGCAAGAGTGTATGAACAAGGAACAGAGAGAGAGAGACAAGTACTAGAGGATGGACAAGATACAGTGCTCCAATTAATCAACCAAAACGCGATTTGGTCTTTTTTTTTGAAATGGTCATTCACCAATGTTCTGAACGGCCCTCAGATTCATGTCATTCATTCTCTTGTTTCGTAACCTCATTCATCGCAACTTGCCTTTTTTTGCATGGACCTACATTGGATCATCGCCGGAATTGAAATGCCCAATGTTTAGGGTTTCTCAAGTAGCGAATCAAATCGAATATGCGCCTTATTTGCATTTGACTCGATGGATGCGAATCGAATTGCATATAAAATCGATTTGCACAGTGCGAACAAAAACTTCATTCGATTCGCAGTGTATTCGATTTGCATTTTAATCGATTCACAATCATTCGATTTGAAGATATTTGCATTCGCTGTCATTCGATTCGCATTTATTCGCATTTGCATGTTATTTGCAGCGCGTAATTCGACTCGCATTTTATTCGCATTCGCATATTATTCGCATTCGCATCTTATTCGCATTCGCATGCTATTCGCATTCTTTATTTGCATTCGCTATTCGCATTCTTTATTTGCATTCGCTATTCACATTCTTTATTTGCATTCGCTATTTGCATTCTTTATTCGCATTCGCTATTCGCAATCTCTATTTGCATTTGCTATTCGAATTCTCTATTCGCATTCGCATTTCATTCGACTGACAAATTATTTGGCTCTTGGACGGCGTGCTTGCAGCTTTGTTTATTCCCTGCCAGACTGCGCTGCCCTTCTTCCCTTTCACATGTTTTCCTTTCCATGCCCTCCATCTCTTTCATCACCCCATTTTTTTTCTGAAGAAGATAGGGGGTGAGAAAAAAAGTAAATGTGGTTTTGTTGCGTGTGAAAAAAACTGATGATACCTTCTTGACCTCCAAGTTCTTCTTCTTTCCTTACTCTCACCCTTTTTGTCATCTCAACAACATGGCTCAATCCTCGAATTCCTTCCTTGACATTGTAATGCAATGCAAAAAGCCTAATCACAAAACTAGATGATCGCCATTTCTTTTCTACACACTAATGGTTGAATCTTTTACTCTCTCGCTTTTCCATGCTCTAGACCTTGGACCAGCACAGTGAGGACGATGGCTTATTCACAGCCAATCAACAGAGTATCATCGTGGAACAACACAGTCTTCGTTCTGTCTCGACATTTGACCTCCCATCTCCAGCACTCTCTTCAAAAGACGCAAAGAAAAAGCAGGACGCGAAATTGGACAAGGGGAGTTGGGTTTGGCGTTGGGCCGAGAGGCGAGCCGACGCCAATGGCAATACCAGGATCTACTGTTTAATACCACGCTGCACACAGAAAAAAGGATGGGCTTTAATTAGGGGCTCAACCACCAAGGAGGCCATCCATGTTCGGCTCCACCTGTCAAGAAAGCAGACCAAGCAATAGAATGAAGTAGATAAAGAGAACCTTGATCAAGGACTAAGAAATGAGTATAAGGAATAGGTTAAAGAGTATGTTGTATTGGCGATACCAAGTAAAGAGCTATAGATTTGCTATCTAAGGCCCTTTTATACTCGTTAGGGCGAAGTCACAAGAGCAAGCTCTTGTCTCGTGACAACCTCCCCCTCTAGGGCCGAGTTCCAAGAGGCCTTTGGCTGGGTTTGTGAGGGTGTTGCAGATGGAACTCGCGAACAAGGTCCGGGGAATTCTTGACACAGGCGGCCGGTTCCCAGGTTCGTTCGGATACGGGGTAGCCTCTCCAATGTATATAGTATTCAAGGTGGTTGCGCCTGATCCGTGAATCCAAAATGGCCTCAACCTCGTACTCCTCATCGCCGGAGACGACAAGCGGAGGAGGTCGTTTTGAGGCTCGACCGGGGATCGTATCTGGATGCGCACGCTCAAGTAAGTTTACATGAAAGACAGGATGTAGCTTGGTCGTTGGTGGTAAATCGAGACGGAAGGATCGAGTGCCGATTTTTTCGAGAATACGGTAAGGGCCCATGCGCTTATGGTCGAGCTTCTTGCATGGTCTGTTCGTTTGGAGGTTCCGGGCGTCTAGCCATAGCGGCCCCTTCATGTGCAGAGGATATAAAAAGGCATATAAAAAATATCCAAAGTCCAAGGAACGGAGTGTTGACTTCCATAACTGGCATATCTCTTCATAGTGGGCAACAGAACACAGAATAAAATAGCAATAGACAGCACAAGAATTTTTAAAATGTAATCTCTCCCCTGTATTTCACGACAAAGATACAGTTGAGAATACAAGTGCTTTAGATGATCACATAAAGAACTACTCTGTCGAATCTTGCAGTGAGGGTTACAGGTTAATAGTAGATGGACATATTCAAGAGTTTGGTGTGCGAAAAATAAGAAGACTTTGTTGTTTGGAGAATAGGTTGGTGTTTAGTAGGATAGTTAAACAAAAAATGTTACAATGCTTGTCTTATATGCTTGGTATCATATATACATTCTCCTCTAATGGACGCGGTGGATATCGTCAAGATCTGCAGAGATGTAACAAACACCATATGATAATTTGGACTTGAAAGGCCTCCATACAAGATCTCCTACTTGCAGATTGGGTTGTGGTTGGGCCTTGGTGTCGAAGTTCCTGGCATGCTGTTCAATGGTGGTGTGAATATTGAGTTGCATCTCCGCATAGAGGTTCTTTAGGGCCTGGACGCGTTCCTGGGCTGGGACATTGTCCTTCGAGACTCTTGGGATGGTGATGGTGAATTTCGGATGGTAGCCGAGGTTGGCAAAGAATGGTGTTGTTTTTGTTGTTGAGTGTGTTGCGTTGTTGTATGCAAATTCTGCTATCGGTAGAAGGGTGCTCCAGTCCGTTTGCTGATAGTCGATATACCCTCGTAGGTACTGTTCCAGTATTGAATTTACTCTCTCGGTCTGTCCATCGGTGCGTTGGTGGTAGGCGGTAGAAAGCTTCTGATTGATCCCCAGAGACTTGAACATGGTGGAAACGAAGGCTGAAGTGAAGGTGGCGCCTCTGTCAGAAACAATGTCATCCGGGAGACCGTGGGCTGAAAATACGCGTTCTAGGAACAAACAGACCGTATCCTGTGCATTGATGTTGTCGTAGGTGGGGACAAAGTGTGCCATCTTGGTGAATCGGTCCACAAAAACACAGATTGCCGTATAGCCGTTTGAGGGGGGGAGTTGGGTGATGAAATCCATCGATACTGAGGTCCAGGGGCGATCGGGTACAGGCAGGGGTTGTAAAAGTCCATAAGGCTTGTGAGTGGATGACTTTGTCCGTTGGCAGGTGTCACAACCGTTGATGTAATCCTTGATGTAACGCCACATGGAAGGCCAGTAAAAGGTTCGACTGACAAGGTCTGAGGTCTTGGTAATTCCAAAATGACCGGCGGTTGGGGCGTCGTGACATTCTTGAAGGATTTGTTTCTTGAGTTCGGGATCGTCGGGGACGCAGACAAGGCCATCCCGCAGGAGTAGCCCATCTTGAATTGAGTACTGGGCATTGTCCGAGTTCGACTTTGCGGTCTTGGCGAGTATTGGACCAAAGTATAGATCATCGGGGATTAGTGTCTTGATTTTTTCCTGGATCGCTGGCGTCTCTGGTTGCAGTGACCGGGCCTGGATGGTGTTCAGAATCTGGATCGGCGGTAGGAGGGTCATCTCGGTCTTGCCGTGCTGGGCCGCACCTCCCTCTCCAGGGTTGTCCCGCCGGGACAAAGCATCGGCAGCGGCATTCTGGGAGCCAGGGCGGTAATGGATGGTAAAGTTGTAGTCAGACAAGATTTCAGACCAGCGGACTTGACGGCGGCTCAATTGGCGCGTGGTGGTAAAGTACTCAAGATTTCTGTGGTCGGTGATGACTTCCGTGGTAGCGGGCGAGAATTCCAGGTAGTGTCGCCAATGTTTAAAGGCAGACACAATGGCAAGGAGTTCTTTGTCGTAGATCTGATAGTTGAGTTCAGCAGGCAATAGTTTTCGGGAGTAGTAAGCGATAGGATGTAGGCGTCCATCTTGGTCACGCTGACTGCAGACAGCGCCGAGGGCCTTGTCAGAAGCGTCAGTTTCAATGATGCAGGGGCGATCTGGTTGGAAATGCCGAAGGACGGGGCCAGACATGAAGCGTGACTTGAGCTCCGTGAAAGCGGCTTGTGCGATAGCGGTCCAGACAAAGTTAGTATTTTTCTTGAGTAACGCGGTGAGAGGCGCGGCGATATGGGAGTATTTCCGTACAAAACGACGGTAGAAGTTGGAGAAACCCAGAAAGCACTGGACATCCGAAACGGAAGAGGGAGTGGGCCAATCGCGAATGGCGGCAACCTTGGCGGGGTCCATAGAAATACCGTCAGTTCCGATCACAAAGCCGAGGAATTCGACTTTGTCCTTGTCGAACGAGCATTTCTCGAGTTTTAAGCATAGACCAGCGTCTTGGAGCTTGCTGAGAACTTTGCGGACATGCGCGGTATGTTCCTCAAGGGTGTCGGAGTAGATGAGAATGTCGTCAATGTATAGCACGACAAAGTCATCTAGGTAATCGCGGAGGACGTCGTTGGCGAAAGCTTGGAAAGTTCCGGGAGCGTTCATTAGTCCGAAGGGCATGACTGTATACTCGAAGTGGCCATAGCGGCAGCGGAATGCAGTCTTCCATTCGTCG